ATATATACTGGGAGCACAGGGGGCTGGGGTACTGAATATACTGAGTGTAGAAACATATACATATATACTGGGAGCACAGGGGGCTGGGGTACTGAATATACTGAGTGTAGGAACATATACATATATGCTGGGAGCACAGGGGGTTGGGGTACTGGATATAAAATGGTTCAATAACTTCTGAATCAACAGTTATGAAGATATTGCAATAAAATTTGGGGTATTTTAGGATAACAACTTTTGTTGGCTCGCAACAATATCCTTACTTCATGTCAGTTTTGTCCTCATTTTTGTAAATGATTATCAAATTCTTATACTTCAAAGATACACAAGATGCACAAGATCAGAGGTATTTGGATATATTCTACCAATTTAACAAAGAAGTGTGGAGAGACTTTGGCTAAAAAACAGAGACATATTTTAGGATGAAACAAATTGATAAATTGGTTATTTGGTTCATCAGTTGATCAGTTGTTTCCTTGACTGATTCATAGATTATTTTATTGATTGATCGATTGGTTGTTTCCAGCCACCTGTGGCAATGCCGCTGGGTTCATGTCTGACACCAGATTGCCGCCGTGCATGGAGTGTCCTGTGAACTCGTACTCCGTGAACAGCACGTACTGCGAGCAGTGTCCTGGTGGGACTGTCACACACGGCACTGGCAAGGACAATGTCACAGACTGTGAATGTGAGGAGATTTATCTAGAAGACTTGACTTTTAAAATACTTTAATGTTTCTTTTATTTTTTAAATCATGAATAGCTTATTTAAAAGTACCATTTTAAGTTGGCTAATTTAGTTTTGAAATTATGTATAATGTTTTGTAGAAAACATCAGAAGAACATTTTATTAAAATTGTATTTTGATGTTTATCACATTATCAGTACAAAAACTTTTATCATTTTATCTCCCCCTCTGTCTTCAGTGGCCTGTCCCCTGGGTTATTACTCCTTTGATGGGTTCTTCCCGTGCCAGGCCTGTCCCCGGGGATTCTACCAGGATACCAAGCAGAGCCTGTCCTGTCAGGAGTGTCCAGCCAATACCACCACTCTGATGACTGCGGCCACTCACCTTGACAACTGTACTGATATTGGTAAGCTGCCGTACAGCAGAAAGTTATTTACATACATCTAACTATCAAAATTGTGATTTAACTTTCTTCATAATATCAAGTACAAGAGATATGTTTATAAATCATATATTTCCTAACATAAGAAGTGTGTGTATATTTTCAGCAACCACAGTGTGTACTAACACCACCTGTGCCAACATGGGCACCTGTTACCCCCAGGGTCACACCTACTACTGCATGTGTCCAGCAGGTAAGAACTGGTCAACACTGGTCAACACTGGTCAGGAACACTTTCACTAAAGCCCCCTTCACACTGGACGGCATTCTCTCTGTGTCCTGTAGTATGGCCCCGTACAAGAGTGAAAAAATTATAATAAATTATGTGCCAACAACTGGCCGATCATTGACCATTCATTCTGCAACCAAAGGGATGCTTGTGCCTCCTTTTTATGACCACAGAGATGCCACTTTTCATAGTCACAAACAGAATTCAGAAACGATGCCATCCAGTGTAAAGGGGGGTTAATTTCTAAATTAAAGAAAAGATGTCCAGAACTTTAATTTTCATTATCCAGATTCACTTATGATAATTTGATAAGTTTGGAAGTAAGTTATCCTTTTGTATGAAATAAAATGAGGAACTATTGAAGCAAATTTGATTAATTTGAGACCTGCTGGCCCAGGTATACTAGATGTCATTTCATTTGCCATGCTAAACTCGTTTTTTCTGTACTTTCTTTCAGGTTATACTGGTCGTCACTGCGAGGTGATGATCAACCACTGCGACTCTATGCCATGCCACTATGGCGCCCAGTGTACGCCTGTCGTAGATGGCTTCACCTGCAACTGCAGCACTCCTAACAAGGCAGGAGAAACAAGTAAGTGTGGCCAGAAAGCTTCAGATGTGAAAGTCAATATATTGTGTATTTGTAATACAGCCTAAGACATAATGTCATCCTTGTTTCTAACAGTTTCCAAATACGCTAGATAAAAATATTGCAAGTGCTGCTAAGTAACTGTAGAAGATTTGATGGCTGAAAATGAAACTTTTTTTGTTTTATTTGCCTTTTTCAACCTGTCATTTCAGTTAAGACAATACAAAACAGCCTTTAAGACTTTGAAGATGATAATGATAATTCTCATTGTTTTTTTATTTCAATATTTTAAAGTAACTTTCTTGCTATTTCCAGCCTACACTGGTCTGAGATGTGAGAATGAAACCAGTCAGTGCAGTAACGGGACTGGTTTCCCCATCCACGATTGCAAGAATGACGCCATGTGTCAGGACCTGGAAGCAGGCTTCAACTGTCTGTGTCTGTCCACGGGAAGTTTCACTGGAGACAAGTAAGTTGGCACAATCTCCGCACCAGCAGAGGGTGGTTTTGTCAGAGCTGGCTTGTGTTGTGAAATTTTGTGTCATAATTGTAACAGAAGTCACCCCTTCTCTT